TAAAAATCCGAACGAAATCTTATCTTATCTATCTTAAATACTAGGACAACATTCGCTGTTTTACAGACCTCTGGCAGCTACCCTTTTTTAATCAATTTGTTGAAGATCGCTGCTAGTTGTGTGTGTGCTCATCTAATTGTCGTTGCAGGGGTCGATTCATAGCTCCTGGTCCCCCCTTTTCAGTGGTAGCTACTAGGTCCACTCTCTCCCTGCTCCTTGAGCTTTATCATACCTCTTCTTAAATTTATATATGGATCCTGCCTCCACTTCATCACTCTCCAGACTGTTCCTCTGCCTGGTAACTCTGTGACTGAAGAAGTGCTTCCTAACATCCCTTTGAGTCATGTGAATCCCACCTGTGTCCCATCCCTTTGAGTCATCTGAGTCATCTATGTCCCATCTCTGGAACATCCTGTTCCTATACACCTTGTCAATTCTTCTCAGTATTTTATATGTCGTTATTCATGTCCCCCTTCTCTCTCCTGTCCTCCATTGTCGTCAAGTCGATTTCCCTTAACCTCTCCTCATAGGACATACCCCTTAGCTTCGGGACTAGTCTTGTTGCAAACCTTCGCACCTTCTCTAATTTCTTGACGTGTTTCACCAGGTGTGGATTCCATATTGGTGTGCATACTCCAATATGAGCCTGACGTACACTAAGGTGTACAGAGTCTTGAATAATTCCTTACTAAGGAATGTGTCGAAACGTTATACTTAGGTTTGCTAGTCGCCCATATACAGAAGCAGTTATTTGGTTGATGTGCGCCTCAGGAGAAGTGCTCGGTATTATACTCACTCCAAGATACTTTCTCTTGAGTGAGGTTTGCAGTCTTTGACCCCCTATCCTGTACTGTGTCTGCGGTCTTCTTTGCCCTTCCCCAATCTTCATGGCTTTGCACTTGGTGGGGTTAAACTCCAGGAGCCCGTTGCTGGACCAGACTTGCAGCCTGTCCAGATCTCTTTGTTGTTCTATCTAATCCGCATCCACTTAAATTCTCCGCATTAGCTTCACGTCGTCTTCAAACAGGGACACCTCTGACTCTTTCCCTTCCGTCAGGTCATCTACATATACCAGAAACAGCACCGACCCTAGGACTGACCCTTGTGGAACCCCACTCGTCACAGCTGTTCATTCTGACAGTTTCTGACAGGCCTGCAGCCTGTCCAGAAACTGGCTCCTGGAGTTCAACCCCACGAAATGCAAAGTCATGAAGATTGGGGAAGGGCGAGAAAACCGCAGATGCAGTACAGTCTAGGGGGCCAGAGACAACAAATCTCACTCATGGAAAAGGATCTTGAGGTGAGTATAACACCGGACACATCTCCTGAGTCACACATCAACCAAATACCTGCTGCAGCAAACAGTGATTGTGTGTGTGTGTGTGTGTGTGTGTGTGTGTGTGTGTGTGTGTGTACTCACCTAGTTGTACTCACCTAGTTGAGGTTGCGGGGGTCGAGTCCGAGCTCCTGGCCCCGCCTCTTCACTGATCGCTACTAGGTCACTCTCCCTGAGCCGTGAGCTTTATCATACCTCTGCTTAAAGCTATGTATGGATCCTGCCTCCACTACATCGCTTCCCAAACTATTCCACTTACTGACTACTCTGTGGCTGAAGAAATACTTCCTAACATCCCTGTGATTCATCTGTGTCTTCAGCTTCCAACTGTGTCCCCTTGTTACTGTGTCCAATCTCTGGAACATCCTGTCTTTGTCCATCTTGTCAATTCCTCTCAGTATTTTGTATGTCGTTATCATGTCCCCCCTATCTCTCCTATCTGTGTGTGTGTGTGTGTGTGTGTGTGTGTGTGTGTGTGTGTGTGTGTGTGTGTGTGTGTGTGTGTGTGTGTGTGTGTGTGTGTGTGTTTAACATGTATATAGCTTGTTATCAACCATGATCAACATTTTTATGGTTTAATTGTGTGATGTTCTTGTGCTAGCAAACAATATATTATATTGTTTTCATGTAAAGCGATGTTTGTAATAATACCTTTGATATACCTTTACCTTTGATGAGTTTCGAGAGTTTTTCTACTCCTGGAGCCCGGCCATGAGCCAGACTCGTTTGGTGCTAGCCTGGTTAATCAGACTGTTGCTGCTGGAGGCCAGCCGCCCCACATACCTGGAGTATACCTGGAGAGGGTTTCGGGGGTTAACGACCCCGCGGCCCGGTCTGTGACTAGGCCTCATGGTGGATCAGGGCTTGATCGATCAGGCTGTTGCTGTTGGCCGCACGCAGCCCGACGTACGAACCACAGCCCGGCTGGTCAGGTACTGACTTTAGGTGCCTGTCCAGGGCCTTCTTGAAGATAGCCAGGGGCCTATTGGTAATCCCCCTTATGTATGCTGGAAGGCAGTGCTGTCTCTTATCGTGCTAGTGGCATCCCTGCTTTTCATTGCGGGGATGTTGCATCGTCTGCCGAGTCTTTTGCTTTCATATGGAGTGATTTTCGTGTGCAAGTTTGGTACTAATCCCTCTAGTATTTTCCAAGTGTATATAATTATATATCTCTCCCGCCTGCATTCTAGGGAGTACAGGTTGAGGAACTTCAAGCGATCCCAGCAATTTAGGTGTTTTGTCACAGTTATGTGTGCCGTGAAGGTTCTCTGTACATTTTCTAGGTCAGCAATCTCACCTTCCCTGAAAGGTGCTGTTAGTGTGCAGCATTATTCCAGCCTAGATAGAAGAGTGTCATCATGGGATGGCATCCCTAGTTTTTAAGGTTCTCATTATCCATCCTGTCATTTTTCTAGCAGATGCGATTGATACACTGTTATGGTCTTTGAAGGCGAGATCCTCTGACATGATCACTCCCAGGTCTTTTACATTAGTTTTTCGCTCCATTGTATGATTGTAATTTGTTTTTTAATCTGATATAGCTTTAATTTCCTTACGTTTTCCCTATCGGAGTAATTGAAATTTCTCATCATTGAGCTTCATATTGTTTTTTGCTGCCATTTGAAGATTTGGTTGATGTCCGCCTGGAGTCTTGCGGTGTCATGCAAATTCGGGTGTCATCTGGAAAGGAAGACACGGTGCTGTGGTTTACATTCCTGTCTATGTCAGATATGAGGATGAGGAACAGGATAGGAGCGAGTACTGTGCCTTATGGAACAGAGCTTTTCATCGTAGCAGCCTCAAACTTTACTCTGTTTACTACTCCTCTTTGTGTTATATTTGTTAGGAAATTATAGATCCATCTATCAACTTTGTTCTGTTATTCCTTTATCACGCATTTTGTGTGCTATTACACTATGGCTACACTTGTCAAAGGTTTTGCAAAGTTTGTGTATACTACATTTGCATTTTGTGTGTCTTCTAGAGCATCCAGGACCTTATAGTGGTCCAGTAGTTGGGACAGACAGGAGCGACCTGCTCTAAATCCATGTTGCCCTGAGTTGTGTAACTGATGGGTGTCTAGATGGGTGGCGATCTTGCTTCTTAGGACCCTTTCAAAGATTTTTATGGTATGGGACATTAGCGCTATCGGTCTGTAGTTCTTTGCCTGGTTGATTTGCCACCTGGAGTTTACCTGGAGAGGGTTTCGGGGGTCAACTCCCCCGCGGCTCGGTCTGAGACCAAGCCTCATGGTGGATCAGGGTCTGATCATCCAGGCTGTTACTACTGGCCGCACGCAAGCTGACGTACGAACCACAGCCCAGTTGGTCAGGTACTGACTGTAGGGGCCTGTCCAGCGCCTTCTTAAAGACAGCCAGGGGTCTATTGGTAATCCCCCTTATGTAGGCTGGGAGGCAGTTGAGCAGTCTTGGACCCCGGACACTTATTGTGTTGTTTTTCAATGTACTCGTTGCGCCCCTGCTTTTCATTGGGGAAATGTTGCATCTCCTGCCGAGTCTTTTGCTTTCAATAGGGACCTAGTGAAGATACTTGTTCAGTTTTCTCTTGAAGACATCTACACTTACTCCAGTAGTGTTTCTGATATCGTCTGGTAATATGTTGAATAATCTGGGTCCACGAATGTTGATACAGTTTGCTTTTACTGTGTCTACCGTACCCCTGCACTTAATAATAATAATACTAAAAATAATAATAATAATAATAATAATAATAATAATAATAATAATAATAATAATAATAATAATAATAATAATATCTTTATTTACTACATGTACTTGGTATACAGGCCTAGCTGACATCAATGACATACTGCTATACAGAAAGCCGCTTGTTATGCTGAGCATTTCGGGCAGATTAGGTCAGTGTCCCAGGATGCGACCCACACCAGTCGACTAACACCCAGGTACCCATTGTACTGATGGGTGAACACGACAACATTTGTAAAGAAACACGCCTGGCTGGGAATTGAACCTAGACCCTTCACTGGGTTTATCTTATGCTTTCTCTTATAGATAATTTTAACCACTCAATATGCTTACATATAATTTCGGCTAATAATAAAAAAGTTGCGAATGTGAATTTCGAAATTAAATTAATTCAGTCCTGAATTTCGCTTTGCAGTAGTCACTGATATTTTCTGACAACATAAAATTATTGATCATCTATATAAACAATAAAATTAATTTCTGAATATATATTATTATTATTATTATAATCAAAAAGAAGCGCTAAGCCACAAGGGCTATCCAGCTGAATATATATTAGAAGGCTTAAAATATAGTGTAGAAAGTATTTAGAACATCTGTAAATGAAAAGGAGAACATCAGTGCGGCAAAGTCAAAATTTATATAAAAATAATTGTTATATATATTTGAAAATATATTTTAAACTTATATATGTAAGACATATGTTTCACAAGTTCTATACATTTCATTAAATAAAGAAACAAAACATAGTATAGCCTGGACTCCTGAACACAGAGTATATTCACCCTGAGGTATACGTGTATTCAGAGAACATACACTTAAGAGATTTATGTGCATTTAGGGTAATTTAAGGTAATAAAATACAGGTAAACTTTGGCGTTAATGATCTACATGTAATCGATGAAGTTTAAAGTTGTGAGGGGCAACTAGTCCTGAATAGCAAGGTGGAGAGGGTAGTGAAGGTCCCAGAGCCGCCATTACCGCCCGCACCAGCTGCTCAACGTTACTACAACTTTCGTCATTTTCATCAGTATTTCAATGTTTTCGTCTTATACGTGCTTCCTCGGATAGCTCAAGTGAATAATAAGCAATTGTTTAAAAGTTATTTGATGAGTACTCTTCCCCCCCCCACCCCACTCCGGACGAATCTACTAAGTGTGATTGAGGTCATGACAGGTCAGGTCAGTGTTTTGATCTGACAGCTGGAGAGGATTTCAAAGTAGGATTTTTTCATGCACATAGAGAAATTTCTCCTCGAAGCAGGTGCTATGATGTTGGTAAAGTTTTAGTTTAATATGTTAATTATGCACCCCATACCCATCCTGTGGGCGGTAGTCAAAATATTACATTATTATTATTTATTATTTATTATTATTATTATTTATTATTATTATTATTTTTAATTATTATTATTTATATTATTATTATTATTATTATTATTATTATTATTATTATTATTATTATTATTATTATTATTATTATTATTATTATTATTATTATTATTATTATTATTATTATTATTATTATTTATTATTAATTATTATTATTATTATTATTATTATTATTATAATCGAGGGGAGGCGCTAAACCCGGAGGATTATACAGCGCCTGGGGGGGATGTGGAAGGCATTCAGGCTTAATTCGGAGAACTGGGGCACAGATCCAATTCCCTAAATCAAGAGCCCCTCACCAACATCAAGGAACCTTCCTTGAGGGGTCAAATTACAGAGGTACATAATTGGTCCAGGGACTGGACCCCAAAGTTTTGATAGCTGAGCAAGTTACAAAGGTAACGAACTCCAGGTAGATCTGGAGTTTACCTGGAGAGAGTTCCGGGGGTCAACGCCCCCGCGGCCCGGTCTGAGACCAGGCCTCCTGGTGGATCAGAGCCTGATCAACCAGGCTGTTGCTGCTGGCTGCACGCAAACCAACATACGAGCCACAGCCCGGCTGATCCGGAACTGACTTTAGGTGCTTGTCCAGTGCCAGCTTGAAGACTGCCAGGGGTCTGTTGGTAATTCCCCTTATGTGTGCTGGGAGGCAGTTGAACAGTCTCGGGCCCCTGACACTTATTGTATGGTCTCTTAACGTGCTAGTGACACCCCTGCTTTTCATTGGGGGGATGTGCATCGTCTGCCAAGTCTTTTGCTTTTCGTAGTGAGTGATTTTCGTGTGCAAGTTCGGTACTGTCCCTCTAGGATTTTCCAGGTGTATATAATCATGTATCTTTCCCTCCTGCATTCCAGGGAATACAGGTTTAGGAACCTCAAGCGCTCCCAATAATTGAGGTGTTTTATCTCCGTTATGCGCGCCGTGAAAGTTCTCTGTACATTTTCTAGGTCGGCAATTTCACCTGCCTTGAAAGGTGCTGTTAGTGTGCAGCAATATTCCAGCCTAGATAGAACAAGTGACCTGAAGAGTGTCATCATGGGCTTGGCCTCCCTAGTTTTGAAGGTTCTCATTATCCATCCTGTCATTTTTCTAGCAGATGCGATTGATACAATGTTATGGTCCTTGAAGGTGAGATCCTCCGACATGATCACTCCCAGGTCTTTGACGTTGGTGTTTCGCTCTATTTTGTGGCCAGAATTTGTTTTGTACTCTGATGAAGATTTATGTGAGGTTTTATCTCAGCATCATAAGTGAGATAAGATAAGATAAGATTTCGTTCAGATTTTTAACTCCGGAGGGTTAGCCACCCAGGATAACCCAAGAAAGTCAGTGCGTCATCGAGGACTGTCTAACTTATTTCCATTGGGGTCCTTAATCTTGTCCCCCAGGATGCGACCCACACCAGTCGACTAACACCCAGGTACCTATTTGCTGCTAGGTGAACAGGACAACAGGTGTAAGGAAACGTGTCAGAATGTTTCCACCCGCCGGGAGTCGAACCCGGGCCCTCCGTGTGTGAAGCGGGAGCTTTAGCCACCAGGCCACCGGGCCTGGTGGAAAATAATTTCCCAAAATTATGCTGTATGTTTCTTTATAATGTAAATATACCTGATTAATGCATTACTATTGCTCTAAAGTGTATTTTAAAGAAGAGAACCGACAGGGAAGCTCTGCGCCTGCGCTGACGAGCATGGGGGAGATGCCGTTGTTTTGAATGTGGTACAGGCACGTTAGTGAAATGTGCATAAATTTTCGTCACTCTAGGGGTTATATTGGGCTTAAACCTCTCAAATAGGAGCCGAAATTGTTGGATTTGCAGTCCTGCATAACATGAGCATTAAGCAGATGGACAAGACAGATTTGGAACCCCAGCTAAGTTGTCTATTTATGTTGAGATTCTGGCCAGTATTTTCTTCATATTTAGGCAGGGGTTTGTGTATGATACACAGTAATCTCCAGACAAATTGGTGAGTGTTACGATTATAAATTCTCCTTCTGTTACTTAAATGTGTATATGTAATCATTTATTAATTTTAATATACAGTCCACATATTTATATTAATGTTTTTACCAGAATTCCTGGTGATGTATATTTCTTTTGAAATTAATATAGGTCCAGAGTGACTTGTGGAGAGATAGATTATAGTAGGTATCGAAGGAGGACATTTTTTGTGACCTAAGTGTCCTAAAATTCCTACTTGTCGCTGTAACCTTGATAAAGAATAATTATCTTTGTTACCATTTACTGGTATGTATCTTATGAGTTACATCCAGGTAAATTTAATTTTCCACAATAAGTCTTCTGTTGTTCAGTTATTTTTGCAGTTCCTTGATAATGAGAAATCACGACAGCCCTTGATATTTCTCTACTACTTTTTATGCATGCATGCACACGCACGCAGAGCATTTAGGGCGGTGCAACATAAATTCACAATTCTCTTGTATTCCAGCATGAATCGTCAGAGAGGTCATCAGCAGAACAACGCTTACCATAATAAAGGCCGTGGTAGACATTTCGATAACAGTTATAATGAGGCCCATACTAGCCAGAAATATGAACAGGGGACCCATTCAGGCTGGGATAGAAACAATCATAATCAAACCCATACTAGTAGGAAATATGAACAGAGGACCCTTTCAGACTGGGATAGAAGTACTCCTAATCAAGCTCACACTAGTCGGAAACATGACCAGTGGACCCATTCAGAAACGAACTGGAAGTGTCAGAAATGCCATTGTTCCAACTTCTCAAACAGAACCTATTGCTATAAATGTGGAAATTCAAAAGGTATGTGCACAATTAAGCTATATTTTCTTATTAATTTATTTATTTCACTGTAATATGTTTACAGTACATGGAATCAAATTCAAAATGGGAATTGACACAGTTACTTTTTGCTGATGATACTGTGCTTATGGGAGATTCTAAAGAAAAATTGCAAAGGTTAGTGGATGAGTTTGGGAATGTGTGTAAAGGTAGAAAGTTGAAAGTGAACATAGAAAAGAGTAAGGTGATGAGGGTGTCAAATGATTTAGATAAAGAAAAATTGGATATCAAATTGGGAAGGAGGAGTATGGATGAAGTGAATGTTTTCAGATACTTGGGAGTTGACGTGTCGGCGGATGGATTTATGAAGGATGAGGTTAATCATAGAATTGATGAGGGAAAAAAGGTGAGTGGTGGCGTTGAGGTATATGTGGGAGTCAAAAAAACGTTATCTATGGAGGCAAGGAAGGGAATGTATGAAAGTATAGTAGTACCAACACTCTTATATGGGTGTGAAGCTTGGGTGGTAAATGCAGCAGCGAGGAGACGGTTGGAGGCAGTGGAGATGTCCTGTTTAAGGGCAATGTGTGGTGTAAATATTATGCAGAAAATTCGGAGTGTGGAAATTAGGAGAAGGTGTGGAGTTAATAAAAGTATTAGTCAGAGGGCAGAAGAGGGGTTGTTGAGGTGGTTTGGTCATTTAAAAAGAATGGATCAAAGTAGAATGACATGGAAAGCATATAAATCTATAGGGGAAGGAAGGCGGGGTAGGGGTCGTCCTCGAAAGGGTTGGAGAGGGGGGGTAAAGGAGGTTTTGTGGGTAAGGGGCTTGGACTTCCAGCAAGCGTGCTTTGAGCGTGTTAGATAGGAGTGAATGGAGACGAATGGTACTTGGGACCTGACGATCTGTTGGAGTGTGAGCAGGGTAATATTTAGTGAAGGGATTCAGGGAAACCGGTTATTTTCATATAGTCGGGACTTGAGTCCTGGAAATGGGAAGTACAATGCCTGCACTTTAAAGGAGGGGTTTGGGATATTGGCAGTTTGGAGGGATATGTTGTGTATCTTTATATGTGTGTGCTTCTAGACTGTTGTATTCTGAGCACCTCTGCAAAAACAGTGATAATGTGCGAGTGTGGTGAAAGTGTTGAATGATGATGAAAGTATTTTCTTTTTGGGGATTTTCTTTCTTTTTTGGGTCACCCTGCCTCGGTGGGAGACGGCCGACTTGTTGAAAAAAAAAAAAAAAAAAAAAACATATTTGCCTAATATTGAGTTCAGGTTCTGGTCTGAAATAGTGCATTTTTATTATGTAAAATGCAGTCATAATAATAATAATAATTATAGTGGTACCAACTCTCTTATATGGGTGTGAAGCTTGGGTTGCAAATGCTGCAGCAAGGAGGCGGTTGGAGGCAATGGAGATGTCCAGTATGTCCAGGATGTTCCAGTATGAAAAAATTGTGGTGTAAATATGTAGAAAATTCGGAGTGTGGAAATTAGGAGAAGGTGTGGAGTTAAAAGTATTAGTCAGAGGGCAGAAGAGGGATTGTTGAGGTGGTTTGGTCACTTAGAATGGATCAAAGTAGAATGACATGGAGAGCATATAAATCTGTAGGGGAAGGAAGGCAGGATAGGGGTCGTCCTCGAAAAGGATGGAGGGAGGGGGTAAAGGAAGTTTTGTGGGCGAAGGGCTTGGACTTCCATCAAGTGTGTGTGAGCGTGTTAGATAGGAGTGAATGGAGACGAATGGTTTTTGGGATCTAATGGAGTATGAGCAGGGATTCAGGGAAACTGGTTATTTTTATATAGCCGGACTTGAGTACTGGAAATTTGAAGTACTATGCCTGCACTTTAAAGGAGGGGTTTGGGATATTGGCAGTTTGGAGAGAGATGTTGTATATCTTCGTACACCTACCATTCGACTTATGACCGAGCTTGGTTCCAACTGACTGGGCGTAAGTCAAAATGGATGCAAGTCGAACATTACTACTGAATATCAGCATCACATTAGGTAATGATTTTATTTTATTGTTTTATTTTTGTATTTCATTTTTTACTCTACTTTTTATGCTGTTAGTACTGTTTTTTATACTGTAAGGTTTAAGAGAAACACTGTGTACAACACAAACAGTTGTTTATTTCCCAAAACATTTGCATACTAAACATGGTTGTAAGTCGAGTGGTCGTATGTTGAGCAGGTCGTAAGCCGGATGGTAGGTGTATATGCTTCTAAACTGTTGTATCTGGGCGCCTCTGCAAAAACAGTGATTATGTATGAGTGAGGTGAAAGTGTTGAATGATGAAGTTATTTTTCTTTTTGGGAATTTTCTTTCTTTTAGGGTCATCCTGCTTCTGTGGGAGATGGCCAACTTGTTGAAAAAAAAAAATATACTACTACAAGTACATGTACAAGGTATACAGGCCTAGCTGACATCAGTGAAATATTACTATATAGAAAGCCCCTTGTTATGCAGAACATTTCGGGCAAATTAAGCCAATTTTGTCCTAGGATGCAACCCACACCAGTTGACTAACACCCAGGTACCCATTTTACTGATAGGTGAACATAGACAATTGGTGTAAGGAAACACGTCTGATGTTTCTACCCTTTCGCTGGGAATCGAACCTGGACCCTCACTGTGTGAAGCGAGAGCTTTTGCCACCAAGCCATGGGGCACCTATACCCAGCAGCTGTTGTCATTTTTTTGTGCAACATTTTATTTTGGTAGATATAAAACATTATTTACAAATGAGTGATATGTCTGAGCCAATCAGTGGTCACTATTAAGTTAAGTAAAGCTCCTGGCCAATCACAGCAGCAGAAACTGGCATGCAGAAGCATGCCAGTCCCACATCTATTGCTAAATTAAAATTAGGTTAGTTAGGTTATTTTAGGATGGGGTAATGTTGAGTTTCCACAAAGTAAACCCACATAACCCAACCCACCTAATATTGTATATTTTTAAGGAATAAATTATAAGTCAATTCAGACCTGAACTCATAATTACTCCAGTATTTAAATTAAGCTATGAAATAAATATACAAGGTATGATGTAGCACGTAATGAAAGTAGTTTGTTAGATTATGTATTGGTGGATAAAAGGTTGATGGGTAGGCTCCAGGATGTACATGTTTATAGAGGGGCAACTGATATATCGGATCATTATTTAGTTGTAGCTACAGTTAGAGTAAGAGGTAGATGGGAAAAGAGGAAGGTGGCAACAACAAGTAAGAGGGAGGTGAAAGTGTATAAACTAAGGGAGGAGGAAGTTCGGGCGAGATATAAGCGACTATTGGCAGAAAGGTGGGCTAGTGCAAAGATGAGTAGTGGGGGGGTTGAAGAGGGTTGGAATAGTTTTAAAAATGCAGTATTAGAATGTGGGGCAGAAGTTTGTGGTTATAGGAGGGTGGGGGCAGGAGGAAAGAGGAGTGATTGGTGGAATGATGAAGTAAAGGGTGTGATAAAAGAGAAAAAGGTAGCTTACGAGAGGTTTTTACAAAGCAGAAGTGTTATAAGAAGAGCAGAGTATATGGGGGAGTAAAAGAAAGGTGAAGAGAGTGGTGAGAGAGTGCAAAAGGAGAGCAGATGAAAGAGTGGGAGAGGCACTGTCAAGAAATTTTAATGAAAATAAGAAAAAATTTTGGAGGGAGTTAAACAAGTTAAGAAAGCCTAGGGAAAGTATGGATTTGTCAGTTAAAAACAGAGTAGGGGAGTTAGTAGATGGGGAGAGGGAGGTATTAGGTAGATGGCGAGAATATTTTGAGGAACTTTTAAATGTTAAGGAAGAAAGGGAGGCGGTAATTTCATGCACTGGCCAGGGAGGTATACCATTTTTTAGGAGTGAAGAAGAGCAGAATGTAAGTGTGGTGGAGGTACGTGAGGCATTACGTAGAATGAAAGGGGGTAAAGCAGCTGGAACTGATGGGATCATGACAGAAATGTTAAAAGCAGGGGGGGATATAGTGTTGGATGTGGTTGGTACTTTTGTTTAATAAATGTATGAAAGAGGGGAAGGTACCTAGGGATTGGCGGAGAGCATGTATAGTCCCTTTATATAAAGGGAAAGGGGACAAAAGAGATTGTAAAAATTATAGAGGAATAAGTTTACTGAGTATACCAGGAAAAGTATACGGTAGGGTTATAATTGAAAGAATTAGAGGTAAGACAGAATGTAGAATTGCGGACGAGCAAGGAGGTTTCAGAGTGGGTAGGGGATGTGTAGATAAAGTGTTTACATTGAAGCATATATGTGAACAGTATTTAGATAAAGGTAGGGAAGTTTTTATTGCATTTATGGATTTAGAAAAGGCATATGATAGAGTGGATAGAGGAGCAATGTGGCAGATGTTGCAAGTATATGGAATAGGTGGTAAGTTACTAAATGCTGTAAAGAGCTTTTATGAGGATAGTGAGGCTCAGGTTAGGGTGTGTAGAAGAGAGGGAGAATACTTCCCGGTAAAAGTAGGTCTTAGACAGGGATGTGTAATGTCACCATGGTTGTTTAATATATTTATAGATGGGGTTGTAAAAGAAGTAAATGCTAGGGTGTTCGGGAGAGGGGTGGGATTAAATTATGGGGAATCAAATTTAAAATGGGAATTGACACAGTTACTTTTTGCTGATGATACTGTGCTTATGGGAGATTCTAAAGAAAAATTGCAAAGGTTAGTGGATGAGTTTGAGAATGTGTGTAAAGGTAGAAAGTTGAAAGTGAACATAGAAAAGAGTAAGGTGATGAGGGTATCAAATGATTTAGATAAAGAAAAATTGGATATCAAATTGGGGAGGAGGAGTATGGAAGAAGTGAATGTTTTCAGATACTTGGGAGTTGACGTGTCGGCAGATGGATTTATGAAGGATGAGGTTAATCATAGAATTGATGAGGGAAAAAAGGTGAGTGGTGCGTTGAGGTATATGTGGAGTCAAAAAACGTTATCTATGAAGGCAAAGAAGGGAATGTATGAAAGTATAGTAGTACCAACACTCTTATATGGATGTGAAGCTTGGGTGGTAAATGCAGCAGCGAGGAGACGGTTGGAGGCAGTGGAGATGTCCTGTCTAAGGGCAATGTGTGGTGTAAATATTATGCAGAAAATTCGGAGTGTGGAAATTAGGAGAAGGTGTGGAGTTAATAAAAGCATTAGTCAGAGGGCAGAAGAGGGGTTGTTGAGGTGGTTTAGTCATTTAGAGAGAATGGATCAAAGTAGAATGACATGGAAAGCATATAAATCTATAGGGGAAGGAAAGAGGGGTAGGGGTCGTCCTCGAAAGGGTTGGAAAGAGGGGGTAAAGGAGGTTTTGTGGGTGAGGGGCTTGGACTTCCAGCAAGCGTGCATGAGCGTGTTAGATAGGAGTGAATGGAGACGAATGATACTTGGGACCTGACGATCTGTTGGAGTGTGAGCAGGGTAATATTTAGTGAAGGGATTCAGGGAAACCGGTTATTTTCATATAGTCGGACTTGAGTCCTGGAAATGGGAAGTACAATGCCTGCACTTTAAAGGAGGGGTTTGGGATATTGGCAGTTTGGAGGGATATGTTGTGTATCTCTATACGTATATGCTTCTAAACTGTTATATTCTGAGCACCTCTGCAAAAGCAGTGATAATGTGAGAGTGTGGTGAAAGTGTTGAATGATGATGAAAGTATTTTCTTTTTGGGGATTTTCTTTCTTTTTTTTTGGGTCACCCTGCCTCGGTGGGAGACGACCGACTTGTTGAAAAAAAAAGAAAAAAAAAAAAATGAAAAAATTGAGTTCAGATAGTTTTTATTCATGTCATTCCCTTCAAGGATGGTGCTTTGATTTTGATAAAGGGGCTCTTGAAACAACATTCTGGATTTTCTCTTCCCTTTCTTGGATTGAACCTGAATGCCTCCCATTCCTCAAGTGCCATTATGTTGAATTCTGTGAATTAATTATTTTCCCTTAATTAAAATAATCATTCTTTATATATTAAAATACACGTACAGCTAAAATAGTTATTAGAATTCAATAACTGGTTTTTTAACAATTACATATACTCTTACAATGAGAGTGTCAGCATTTTACATGTTACAAGTATTTTTACAAGTTTCAAGTGAATGCGGATGAATTATACATAAAAGTTTTGGCAATAATTTTAGTAGACATTTGTGTGATCTTTTTATATATGTATTGTATGTTACTTAAATATGCTGACTAAATTGTTCAGAGGACAGGTTGTGAAATTTATAACTGGCTACCTTCAATAAGATCTTTTCATCACATTTCTCAATATAATTTTTGTTTTACATAATTTTGCCATTTCTTGATTGCAGCCCTGTTTTCAAACTTATATATTTCATGAGTATTGGAATAGTACAGCAAACCTTAGTGTAACAGACTAATAGGAGGATGTTGGGGTAAGGTGACTGTTAATGCATCCGAGGCGGATATTGTTTTGCCATAATTGGAACAGTAATGGACAGTTCTGTAATCAATGAATTAAATCAGTTGACCCAGTGGATTTTGCCCATATTGAGGTGTGCTAAATAGAGGGTTTACTGAACTTTTCATAAAATGAATATGTACTAAAATTAGATATATGTAGACAGCAGGCCCTGCACATATGTCCCAGTGCAATGGAATAGGGAAGCAGGCACTGGGTGGAATGAAGATGAAGATAAATATAGAAAGAAAGATACAGATACAAGTAATTATGAACCACCAGTCGAACAACTGATTGACTGGGACTCGGTTTATGAAGCGAATGTAAGTAAAAACTGTCATGTTGTTGCAATAAATTTTGGATCATTTTAAATTTGTCAAAGCACTTGGTCTTCAATCATATCTACCATATTTTATATTTCTTATTGCCCTTTTCAATGAATATGATTCTCCTCTTTTTTTTACCAATCCTATTCATAAATATTGGGATGCCACAAGGCAGCATTCTAGGTGCTCTACCTTATATCAGTAACCTACCAAATATATGGCAACTCTTGCACATTATTTGCAGATAATTTCACCATTGTCACCTCAAACCCTGATCCAGTTGTCCTAAACAGCAACACTGTATTTACCTTACATGGAAAAGCCCGTGGTTATGCACGGCTTTTTGGGCAGTCATAAGCTATGATTAATACTAATGATATAAAAATAAAAAAAAAGTGTATATAAATGTAATACATACTAAAATATAAAATTATATCTAATAGTTTTTTGTGAAATTTAGCATTTAATGAATTGAGACATAAATTCAGAAGAATTAAAATGCAAATAAGCAATGTAATAATGGTGATATTACTTTTGTTTTTCTTTTTGGGCCTCCCTGCCTCGGTGGGATATGGCCGGTTTGTTGAAAGAAGAAAGATTAGTTTCTATGGAGGTTTAGGTACATTATCCCTACCTCTACCTCTGATTAAAATAAAAAAGTAAAAAGATTTACAAAGATTCACTACTATACCCGAACTCCCACTGACACTTTTTTGGTTATCCTAGGTTCTCTACACATATGCTGCTATGTATGATAATCTATGTAACTGTATTTGTGTATACCTGAATAAACTTACCAGAGTGAACACTATATCCATTTGTCGTTTAGGGTATGTATGTATCTTTGGCTATCTACAACAGCATCTTGTGTAACTTCCATCATGACAGGTTACTCAAGAATCAAACGCCCTCACCTTCTCTTCAATAACTGAATATGCTTTATAAATTTGTTTGCTTCAAATTGATTAAATTTTCAAGTGCATTTTACGTACTAACCATTATCTTTAATAGCCTTCTTTGGACCAGGAAGCAAGTGACATGAGAAGGGTGCACCCCATTTGGTCAAGCATTTAAGGTTGTATTTTAAACTGTTGCACAGCACTTGCTTTTAATGGCTGCACTTGGTATACTTTCATTGTTTTATTACTTTGGAAAAATAAATTCTCATTAGTTTGCATTGTCACTTGACCAAGCTTTAAGTTAGTCCCCTAGTAAGTGCTGTTTTTAGAAATTGTTGGGTGAAACACTTGTAGCATAGGTATTACTACTGTAACTTCAACATAGGCTTATGGAGGCCTGTTCTTTCATGTTAGACAATGTATAGTAACTGGACCAGAGTGGTGATTAAATGCAGTATGTTTTTTTGGATACCTTTTTTTTTTTTTTTTTTTAATTTTGTGTATTTTGATTTACCTCCTTTAGGACAAGTTTGAAGCTGAGCGTTGGGCTCATCTTCCACCTTTACAGAAAACCCTTTACATAGAAGATCCTGAAGTGAAATTGATGAGCGAAAAGGAAGTTCAAGATTTCAGGTTTGTAAATGTGCAGGGTTCATGGCATTGTTATAGGACCATATGACTTGCTTATCTAATGACATTTTTGTTGGCTTTGTTGGAGTAAGGGAGCTTGTATAATTGAAGAGGTATCCTGCATTCATCTGATGAACAAGTTTTATGAATAATTTGAAATGTATATCAAGGTCAGATCAAGGAAAATTTAGAGGCGAGTGAAAAGATGAGTGGTTAGGTAGTATGAATGATAATGTAACACACAGAATGAGAGGAAAGTTAGGCAATCCATACTGAGAATAATAGTGGCTCATGCCCTACCAGAATCCATAAAGCCCTCTGTAAGTCTGAATTCTAAGGTGTGGGGTGTGTGCTAAGCTTCTGTGGCTCTTTTGCAACTCTGTTCATAAAAAGTAACCTCTAAAATTTTTGTTAACGCCTTATAGTTTGTAGTCAATTTCCACTTCTTTTTATAATATTACTCTGTTAAATGCCTAGGGCAGTACTAGCAAGCCATTGTAAAATGGCAGTTCATTATTATTTTGGCTTCCGGCATTATCTCTGAACTTGCCAGTGAGGCTTTTGTACAGTCGCTTCAAATTTACAATCAACTGCAATTACATTCTTGATTTTTCTTTGTACAGTGGACCCCCGGTTTACGATGGCATTGGTATCCGATACATCCGGTATTCGGTACATTTTAACGCAAAAATTTTGCCTCGATTCCCGTTAAAAAAACCCAGTATACACGATTCATCCGAGACGTGTCCACGTGTGGCCCAGTGTTTACAAGCCAGCCAGTGTGCTTGCATCTAAGGATACATTCGGTACATTCCATATTATCAGTGTTTTTGGTGCTTGTTTCTGCAAAATAAGTCACCATGGGCCCCAAGAAAGCTTCTAGTGCCAACCCTGTGGTAAAAAGGGTGAGAATTAGTATGGAAATTAAGAAAGATTTTAAAGGGTTTGGGGCTAACCCTGAGAAGCCTATGCCAGTTGTGGAATCCATTGTGCCTACTTCAAAAATTAAGGAAATGTGTGCAAAGTGGGTTGAACTGCAAACCTTTATGGATGAAAATCACCCTAACACAGCTATTGCAAGCCGTGCTGGTGACTATTACAATGACAATGTTGTGGCCCATTTTAGACAAATCGTAAAAAACGGGAGGTACAGAGCTCTATGGACAGATTTGTTGTGTGACAGAGGTCCAGCGACTCTCAAGCTGGTCCTAGTGGCATTAAAAGAAGAAGGGAAGTAACCCTTGAAAAGGACTTGCTACCTCAAGTCCTAATGGAAAGGGATTCCCCTTCTAAACAATAAGTTCGACACTCTCCCCTCCTGCCATCCCATCAATCATCACCAGATCTTCATTAAAGGTAAGTGTCATGTATTCTAGTGTTAGTAGAGTACTACAAACTGTGCATGTCTTCTTCAGTTTGTGTGCATTAAACTTAATATTTCATGTGGTAAATTTTTTTTTTTCATACTTTTGGGTGTCTTGCACGGATTAATTTGATTTCCATTATTTCTTATGGGGAAAATTGATTCGCTTTTTGATAATTTTGGTTTACGATGAGCTCTCAGGAAAGGATTAATATCGCAAACCGGGGGTCCACTGTAATTTGAATGTCCAGAAATCTGAACATAAAAAAACTTCAGCATAAATGATGATTGTTCTAAGAATGTCATTTAAGCATTTTTACCCAAGTGAATGCCAAAAATTTGGAAGATAGCAAAGTTGACACTAATGTTAAAAAAGTGACGTGGAAGAATCCCTGAACTACAGGTGTTCTTAATGAGTGTAATGTGCAGATTGCTGGAAAAGATTGTAAGGAATACTGTATCTAGAAAGTTTAAAATAACTTTAAAACTAGCATTGATTCTGAAATAAAAAGTTGTTCATGTGAAACCTTACCAAGACACAAAAACAACTTTATCTGCCCCCCTGCCACTATAAACCCTCTTAAATAATTACACAAAATTTGAAAAGGATAACATTATGGTCACTGATGAATGCTCAAATAGGTAAAGCAAAAAGAATTCTCAGGGTGGCTCGTTGCTGGTGAAGGATTCTTTATCGAAGGAATTGGAAGTTTCTGCCCCTTGGATTGAACCTCTTGCCATTCCCAGGTGCTGCTGTATAACCACCATGGGTTTAACACTTCCCCATCATCATGATAAGGAAGAATTACTTAGTAGTCAGGGGGCATAAAGAAAACAGGATTTCTGTGAAGACAGACAAACCCTATTGAAGGAAAGAAATAAAAATGAAGATGATTTACAAACTGCCTGAAGACTAAATAGTGTAAAAGTTAAGAAGAAAAAATATTTTTCTACAGAGTTAGAGCCAAATCAATTCATTAAATTGCTTCTTGGGGCAACAAACTAAAATGGGGAAAATAGACAGAGAAAGTTAAGTTTTTATACATGTATAGATGGAGTAAAATAAAAAAAATGTTGAATAGGATTACTGTACTACATAAATATGATTACAGGCTAGTACATGTAATTTGGTTTGGGTGCAAAATTAAAAATTTGCTAATGTTAATTCACAAAATATATCTATTGATTTATAAGATCGGATATTTGAGAAGATCTAGTTTTACGGCTCTTTGATTTGATAGTGCCTTGAAAAACTGTCATGCTTGAATATCTTTGCTTTATCTTGTGTGTTGTACTTTTATCATCTCATAAAAATCTACCCTTGTTGTAAAGTGTTGCCAAACTCCTGAGTTTTATACTTAGAAAAATAATGTATTGTACTTTACCTAATATTTCAAGTACTACTCATTTTAAAATGTCGACAGTTTAGTATATATACAGCCTCTCCTCACTTAATGACGGAATTCTGTTCCTAAGACCATTTAGGTAAGTGAATTTGTAGCTGAGCGAGGAGCATACTATAATGGTAGTGGGGTTTGTGTCAACCATCTTTGATGTTATTTTAACCCTTTTGGGGTTTCGGCCGTACTAGTACTGCTTACGTACCAGGGTTTTTGACGTACTAGTACACACAAATTCTAGCACCCTCAAATCTAGCAAGAGAAAGCTGGTAGGCCTACATATGAAAGAATGGGTCTATGTGGTCAGTGTGCGCAGTATAAAAAAATCCTGCAGCACACTGTGTAATGAGAAAAAAAAACTGTTTTTGGTTTAAAACAGCGACTTTGCACAGTATTTTCATGTGGTATTTATTGTTTTATTCTAGTTGTCCTGGTCTCTTTGTATAGAATGGAAGACATATTACAGAAATTGAGATGATTTTGACTGGTTTCACAATGAAAAGTATCTTGAAATTGAGCTCAAAGTAGCAGAAATGTTCGATTTTTACCAAAGTTCAAAAGTAAACAAATCGTGCTAAGCGTCCAATACACGTCAACTGGTGAGTCTAATATTCTTTCACAAGTGCGCCGATATTATTTATACCATTTTTACACTAATGCAGTAGTCTGCATAGCAGTAAATCTTCTATTTTTTGTGAGAATAAAAATTCAAAGTGGAAAGCAAAAGAATGTAAGAGGGGCGTGGGGACGTGACTAATGAACAGAGAAAATGTTATTTTAGTGCCAGGAATGTCCTTGTTTATTCTTGACCCTATTTGGAAATTGGCATCTTTTGAAATTTGTGTGAAATTGGCAAAATTGCTAAATTCTTACCACTGTATTGGATAGTTGAAATCGGTAAATGGGTGGTTTCTTGTACTCATTCGATAGAAAAAATGGAGTTCTAGCGAAATAGTTATGATTTTTGTCGACTAGTACACTGGAATTGGCCGAAAATAGGGCTCAAAGTGGGCAAAATCGCCGCTGTGTAAACATCGTCGAGACCGCTAACTTCGCAAGAGCATAATTCCGTAAGTTTTCCATTAACCCTTTGAGGGTTTTCGTCATACTAGTACGTCTTACGCGTAGGGGTTTTTGTCGTACTAGTACGCATAAATTCTAGCGGCCTCAAATCTCACAGGAAAAGGCTGATAAGCCTAGATGTGAGAGAATGGGTCTGTGTGGTGGGTGTGCGCAGTAGGAAAAAAATCTGGCACCCAGTGGTGCATTGTGGGAATGCCATCATAGTACACAATTTCCACCGTGCCTCGCGGTAAGAAGTTCCTCACTCCTCGGCGAATTGGGACACTTTTGTTCCCAGTGACAGTTCTAATACAGATGGAAGTGACAGTGAAGATGAGTTTCAAGGTTCTGGTGAGGTTTTGACCGAAACTAATGACCATAATATGGGTAATAGTGAGGAAAACCCAGACAACCCACAGCCTTCCACCTCTGGTGCTGGGCCATCTTGTTCACGTTCAATTGTACCAGAATCAAAGAGGAAACTCCTATTTTCCAAAATCCCAGACTCAGATGTGAGCATTGGTGATGATAGTGATAGTGATTATGAACTACAAGCTCTTCAAACTTGTTCCAAGAATGGAGGATGAGGAGGAGGCAGAGGAGGAGGAGGCAGAGGAGGAGGAGGCAGAGGAGGAGGAGGCAAGAGGAGGAGGAGGCAGAGGAGGAGGAGGCAAGAGGAGGAGGAGGCAAGAGGAGGAGGAGGCAAGAGGAGGAGGAGGCAAGAGGAGGAGGAAGGCAAGAGAGAGAGGAGGCAAGAGGAGGAGGAGGCAAGAGGAGGAGGAGGCAAGAGGAGGAGGAGGCAAGAGGAGGAGGAGGCAAGAGGAGGAGGAGGCAGAGGAGGAGGAGGCAAGAGGAGGAGGAGGCAAGAGGAGGAGGAGGCAAGAGGAGGAGGAGGCAAGAGGAGGAGGAGGCAAGAGGAGGAGGAGGCAAGAGGAGGAGGAGGCAAGGAGGGGGGAGGCAAGAGGAGGAGGAGGCAAGAGAGGAGGAGGGGCAAGAGGAGGAGGAGGCAAGAGGAGGAGGAGGCAAGAGGAGGAGGAGGAGGAAGAAGAAAGGAGGAGGAGGAAGAAGAAGAGGAGGAGGAAGAAGAAGAGGAGGAGGAGGAGGAAGAAGAAGAGGAGGACGAAGAAGAAGAATACGTAATGATAACAATAATACATAATAATAATAATAATACATAATAATACATAATAATAATAATACATAATAATAATACATA